TGAATTCTTCTTCATGATAGATGATGCAGTCATGGCTTTAAGAACATGACTAAATGATCCCAAAGGAACTTTCTAACAGAGTCGTCCAAAGGGACCTCAGAGCGAGGGCACTTGTGGGAGCAATGACGTATGTGTGCAGATCTAGAATGCACGCACATGTAAGCTTTAAGGATGTTACTGTGGGTCAAAGATGGCAGCAAATTCTTTGCTACTCCCTTTTTTAGAGGTGGAGTCTAATTCTCCTCTGTTGAATCAGGGCTGGTCTTAGTGACTTGCTTGACCACCAGCGTGTGCAAGAAGGGACACTCTGAGGCGAGGTCAGAAGTCTTGCAGCTTCTACCTAGATTTCTTAGAACATTCCCTCTGAAGGAAGTCAACCACTATAAGAAATTTGACTACACTGAGATCACTCTGTGGTGAGGAAGTCCACGCTAGCCACACTGAGAGACAGACAGACAGAAGAGAGAGAGATGCTCAGCCAGCCCCAGCTATTCCAGCTACAATAGCCCAGGCACCTGCGGTACGAATGAAAGAGCCATCTTGGACATTCCAGCCTCAGTAAACACAATGTGGAAAAGAACCGAGGATCCCAGCAGATGGCCAGGCATGTGGCTTTGGTTGAGTGCAGCCATGTCCAGTCATGAAGCCATCCCAGCTAAGGCTCTAGCCTGAATTTCTGGCCTACAGAATCATGAGCATAAGAAAATGGCTGTACTTTTATGCTGCTATGTTTTGGAGTAGTTTGTTCTATAAAAATAGATAACTGGAACAGATGTTGAAAAGAGGGTTTATATGACTCAGCTATTGCCACAATGATACAGCATAACACATGACTCCAAATCTCAGTAGGTTCAACAATAGCATTTTATTTTTCTCACTTAGGGGCCTGTGGGCTGCCTGGGATGTCTTCTTCAGGCAGCAAGGCAGTTGGCTTTGCAGGGGCAGGCTGGATTCAGACACGTTTCTCACCTTTGTTCTGCTGCCAAGCTAAAGGGACAGCATCTACCTGGGGCATGCTGACTCACATGTATGCAGGAGTCCAAGTAAAACTCTGCAAAACATTTCGATGCCTCTGCTTGCTTCACATCCACTTATTTCATTGGCCAAGTACGTCATATGGTCAAGCTCAAAATCAAAAAGGTGAGTAAATATACTCCAATCCAACTGGGAGAAACAAGAGAGGAAATACTTACTGAACAGTACTTACTCCAACCTACTGAGAGTTTCAAGCATCAAACGATGGTGGTGGTGGTGATGGCAAGTGGTATCAGACTGGACCACTTGTAAGGTATTTTGTAATTTGGTACTTATACATCTAAAATCCAGAGAAAACACATGTAAGTGTTGTAGGGGGAGGTGTCTAAATACAGGAATCAATGATTTTTTGTACTAAATACCAACAAGGAGGAGGCGTGTAAAATTATGAAAAGACAAAAGAAATGTAATGGAAGTGCAGAAGGAGAGGAATTAAGAAAAAAAAAAGGAGAGAAAAAGAAAGCAGAAATTTAAACCCTTCAGCAACTGTTGCGGAGGCCAGGAGCAGATAACCTGCCTCTTGGTTTGCCTCACCTGCAGGGAGAGCAGCTCCAGGGCAGCCAGTCCCTGAAAGAAGCCCCCAGACACCAGCTCCTATTTAAAGACAGGTGTTTCCAGTTCAAACATTAGGCGCAGCATAAGGCGCCCACAACACGGCTCTCCCACTCGGCACCACACTTATGTCCAGGGAAAGCACCAGCAGGGCAGGTTGTTCGTCACTCCCAGCGGAGGGTTAACTATTAACACAGCTCTGGGCTGCACAAAGCTGTGGGAAGCAAGCGCGGTGGAAGCAAGGGGGCTTCAGAAAGGCTTTGCAAGAGAAGTGAACTGGGACTGCATGGAGAGGTGAGAAAATGTGGAAGCAGCACACAGCCCCATGTTTGTAGCATGCCTAGAGGGTACAAGCTTGGAGAGGGAACGGACGCCAGATCCTGGTAGGTGTTGAATACCAGGATGAAAAGCATATTCTTAATTCAGTGGGAGCCACTGAAAGCTTTTGAGCAAGAAGTAGTATGAAGGAGTTGTCCTAGAATACAATTCTTTCCTGCTTCTTTAGTAACAGAGCACCAATCTTTTGTTAAAAAATTAATTTAATTATTTATTGAAGTATAGCAGACACACAGTGTTACATTAGTTTCAAGTGTACAACATAGTGATTCAGCAAGTCTATATGTCAAGCTGCGCTCACCCCAAGGGTAGCTGCCATCTGTCACCATACACTATTACAATATCATTGACTATATTCCCTATGCTCTCCCTTTCATTCCCACAACTTATTCATCAGAAGCACCGATTTTTAACTGGGGATATGCCTGTGAAAAATAAAGATTACATTTCCTAACTTCTCTTGCAGCTAGGTAAGGTCATGTTGTAAATTCTGTTTAATGAAATATAAAGCACATAGCGTGAACAACTTTTAGGAAATATTCTTAAAGGGAGAGGACATTGCTCCTTCATTTTTTTCCTACTGGAAAAGTGGAACCTAATCCTAACATGTATATTATGCATTAGGAAGATTGGCCTAGGGCAAGGCAAAATATAGGATGGCTGGAACAAGAAGAGCATTGGAGATAGGAAGACTAATTAGGAGAACATTTTGGTAGCCAAGATAAGAAGTGAGGAAATAAGACCTGAGCCAGAATGGTAGCAGTGGGAATGGATGGGAGGGGTGGATGTGATAAATATTGCCAAAGGAGTGTCTGTGGGACTTGGCAATTGATCAGATGAGAAGAGACACTAGAGAAGGAAGAACCAAAGGTCACCTGAGGCTTCATACAGAGACAACCAGGTGGTCAATAATGTTAGGTCACCTGAGGCTTTATTATTTATTATTTAACATTATTGACTAGGTGGTCAATATGTTCATGTTAGTAATGTTAGCAGATATAGGGGGTCCAGAAGCCTTGAGAAATGCCACCATGAGTTTGATTTTGGAGGTGCTGTGGGTATGCTTGCAGGATATTCAGGTGGAGATATAAAGCAGGTAATTGAAAATTCATTTCTGGAGCATGATTTCAGAGTCCTTTGGGTAAAAGTGGTCATCAAAACAAAGGGAGGGGCTGGTTGGCAAAATAGAGTGTGTCTGTAGAAAATCCTTTCTTCAGTGCACACAGAGAAATAAACTGTGTTCTGAAAACATAAAAATATGTTAGCATGCTCCCCTCCTTCCATCAAAAAAAGCCTACAAACTCCAGCCAATGGCTGGCTGACTGGCTGGCTTCAAGCAAGGAAATCCTCCCAGGTCTCAAAATTTGGACAGCTCCCTAATGTTCCTTAGGAAGGCATTTCGATTTGTACAAATATCTGTCATGACACGTTTGAAGATGCCTCCTTTTCAGCAAGAGATCTAGAATAATTGCCTTCCTCCTTAACTCAGGTTAGCCACATGTAAGAAGACTCCCTTTTCCCAGAAGTCTTAAAAGACCAATTCCTTTCAAAAGCAGAATGAGAAAATATGAAAAAACTAATACATGTGACAGAGTAAAACGCCTCTGCAGAGGTCTCTCATATATCCGCCATGACCAGAGCAGATATTACATAAAAGTTGAAATAAAAAAGAATTGAGGGCGCCTGGGTGGCTCAGTTGGTTAAGCGACTGCCTTCGGCTCAGGTCATGATCCGGGATCGAGTGCCGCATCGGGCTCCCTGCTCAGCGGGGAGTCTGCTTCTCCCTCTCGCCCTCCCTCCTCTCATGTGCTCTCTCTCTCTCTCATTCTCGCTCTCTCAAATAAATAAATAAAATCTTTAAAAAAAAAAAAGGAACTGAATCGAATGTTAACATTAAGAAACCATCTTGGCAGGCTGGCTAAACCACTGTATATACAGTTTTCCTGCGACGGCTGGGGGCCGAGAGATGGAAGAGGTTAAAATCCAGTGGTTTGTGTACTACGTCGTAGAAATGCAACTGCAAGTGGTGGCGAGAGAGCTGTTGATTCTAGAAGAGTTTTGCGTCTTCAGGCTACATACAGCCCGCAGACAACTGTCGGGCAACCGAGGGCCTATCCGGAAGGCTTTAAGCCCCTGCCCTGGAGAGGGCTAGCACGCGCAGTGGCGAGCCCGGGCGCTGGGTTTGGTGCCACCCGGGTTTCACTTACAGGTGAAGCTTTGTCAGAGCCCTTATCGAACGTGGGATAAGACTTTTCTAATTCATCCACCCATCATCCATCTTCCGTCTCAGGGCCAGGCCTGCGGTGGGCACCCCGGCGTGCTTTATCCTACAGGACTCCTGGAGTAGGGGATTTAGGCAGGAGGACGACGTGGCCGGAGGACCTTCCGGGGTGGGGGTGGGGGTGGGGGTGCCTCACTGCGCTCAGCCCTTTTGCAAGAGAGGCGGGCGCGTTCTCGGACAGACCGCGGGGGCGAAGGCACCAACCTGGAGGGAACCCCTCCCCTAATCCCCAGGCCAGGGAACGCGGCTGGGTTCCACATTCTCCCGGGCCCTCTAACCCCGAGGGCCCAGACCCCGGCTGGCCCGAGCGGCCCAGGCAGGTGCCAACGAGCCCGGGCCGTGCCTCAGGCCGCGCCCCGCCGCGGTCACCCGGAGCCCGCCCCAGTTAGCGGGGCCGGACGCGGCTGCGGGCGCCCGGATTGGCCGGCTCTGCCGGCGCCCCAGCGGCCCCGGCAGCGCCCCTGGCAGCGTCCCTGGCAGCGCCCCCAGCCCTGCCGCCCCTCCCCCCGCGCCGGCCCCCAGGGCGAGGGGCGCGCGGCGGCGGCTCCCGGGCGCTGATTGGCCGAAGCCGCGGGGGGCGGGGCGGCGGGTGTGAAGGGGGCGGGCTTGGGCTGCTCACGGCTCTCTCCCTTCTTCCCATCTGCGCCCTCTCTCGCGGCTCCCGCGTTGCATCATATCCAGCCCGTGGCCGCTGTGGGAAGGTTGGGCGCGGCGCGATCCACTCAGGCCGGGGCTCCAGCCTGCTCTCCCGCACCTCTCCTGGCCCTTTCCACACCTGCTTCTGCACCCACGCCGGGAGCTCCCCGCGGGCCGGCTCTCAGAGCCCGCGGAACACAGCCGGCAGACGTCGCCAGCTCTGCCTGATCCGTTCATTGAGAGCCCGGCTTATCCCAGAGCCAAGTCTCCCGCCTCCTCCAGCTCGGGGCCGCGAGCAGCGCCATGGAGAAGAGTAGCGAAACCAACGGCTACCTGGACGGCGCCCAGACGGGGCCTGCAGCAGGGCCTGGCGCGCCCGGATCCGCGGCGGGACACGCGCGGCGCTGCGCGGGCTTCCTACGGCGGCACGCGCTGGTGCTGTTCACCGTGTCGGGAGTGGTGGCGGGCGCGGGCCTGGGCGCGGCGCTGCGCGGGCTTGGCCTCACCCGCACGCAGGTCGCCTACCTGTCCTTCCCCGGGGAGATGCTGCTCCGCATGCTGCGCATGATCATCCTGCCGCTGGTAGTCTGCAGCCTGGTGTCGGGCGCCGCCTCCCTCGACGCCAGCTCTCTCGGGCGCCTGGGCGGCATCGCCATCGCCTACTTCGGCCTCACCACGCTTGGCGCCTCGGCGCTCGCTGTCGCTTTGGCGTTCATCATCAAGCCTGGGTCTGGCGCGCAGACCCTTCGGTCCAGCGACCTGGGGCTGGAGGAGTCGGGGTCCCCTCCGGTCCCCAAAGAGACAGTGGACTCTTTCCTCGACCTGGCCAGGTAACGCCCCTCCCCCCCAACCTCGCCAAGTGCACAGTGAGGGACACAAGCTCTCTAATGCACTCCAGTGCATGCGCCCCCCCCACCACATACACACAGACACACCACACTCATAAACTGCTAAGAGTTCATTCTTAATTGGCTGCTGGTGATGAACCAACCCTCCCATTAGGTGGGAGTGTTAGGGAAGAGCAGCTGTCTCACCTGTACCGTACTCCTTATACCATCTGGCCGCCCTTACCAGTAAAAACGTTCCAAACACACCCCATTATCTTCACCCTGTTTTCTCGGCGCGGTCCCCGAAAGCTGTTGGGAGCATTAGTTAAATTTTGCCTGTATCATCCTCACCTGTAATCTCTGGCCTTCCCTGTTTCAGCCCTTTGGCTGAGAGGAAGGTGGCAATTTTTGAAGACTTGTCAGGGGGCCCAAGGATAACAGGGCTGGGGTTAGTTGTATGAGGCCCATTGCCCAGAAACATGGCTCTCCCCGGGGGGTTTGGGACAGGTTGCTGTCCACCCCATAGTCAGGATCACTGTAGAGTATTGTTGGGTTTCAAGGAGCTTTATTTCTGGAAGGGTGAGTTCTAGAGGGGAAGGAGTTTTGCTTGCTCTTTGTGACTCTTAGAAGTTGCATTTTATCCCTTGAGATGCAAAGTTATTTCTGGATTATCCAAAGCCTCAGCCTCTCTTGGTTTCTCCATTAGCCCAGAGTTCACAGATAGGAGAACTGCAGCCTGGAGGCATTTAAGGTCCTGGCCAGGTTCAACTGAGTGAGGAGCTCAGCTGGCTCCTCCAGGTTTCTGAAAATTCTGGATTCGGAGCCTTGGAGGTATGTTTTGTCTTGAGTCACTGAGGCAAAGCTCCTCATGGCTGAGGCTGCAAAAAACAGCAAACCCTGGGCAAAGTGACTTGACTTCCTGCTATTTCCTTTTCTCCCTCTGGAAAATGTGATGACTGTCTGCCACCTGAGAGTGTGTTCGTTTGAAACTACAACAACAATAAAAAGTCCAAGGCTTTTGTATTGGAAAAAAAACAAAAAACAACCCAAAACCTCCGATGAGGGGGACCAAAAGGCAGATGGGGATGGCCTAAGAGGACTTTGATGTGATCACAGCCTTTGGTATCTGGCAACTTGATATTTGGTCTTCTGAGATCCTTAAAGTTTTAGGACTTTTAGGTGGGTGCTGAAAACAAAGTCTGCAGAGGTTGAGAGTGCTTTTGGCTTATTACATTCAGTGTTATCAGTCAGCTTTCCCCAGGAGGGAAGGTAGTTATGGGGTTAAAGGATTTTTTGCAGGGATCAGTGGCCCAGGGAAGGGACTATGGATGCCCAGCTCTGACCTGCTGGTGGTACCCCAGAGGGAGGCTCAGTAGCATTCTTTTATCTCCAAAAGAGGGACAGTAGCCCCCAAATGGCACAAGGTAAGGTGAGGGGTTACTTTATTACCACCTGTCTCAGAAGGGGCATCTTATTTCCTGATCGTGGTTTTCTAGTCTTAAATCCAAGCCCCTACAGCCACTGCTTCTGAAGCGAATGGTGACCCAGCATCATGGCTTAGTGGTCTGTCTGGGTGCAGACTTTTCAGTGACTTGGGCTGCAGATGCAGGAAAGGACTAAGAGAACCTTTGTCGTGGCTTGTTGGGAATAGGCAGCATTTCATAATGCTTCCACAGCCAGCCTCCAGCTTCTCAAGGATAAAGGTAGGGCAGGTGCTATGATCCTGTTTTACGACTGAGGAAACCCAGACAGAGAGCGATTAAGTGATTTGCTCAAGGTCACAGAATGGTTTATTGAAAGAAGGATTCGCGAAACTATGGGTCTTGTGCCCCACAGTTTGGGGTTCTGCTTCTCCCACTCTTCCCTCCCCCAAGTCAATATGCCATAGTAATGGTGCCATGCTGCTGGTCCAGTGCGACCGTCTCAGAAATGTTTGCTCTGGGCCAAAAGGGAATCAGGTAAGAATATGATTTGGGTCAGGGCAGATGCCCACTTCCTCTAAACAGAGGACCTGAGCCCCGTCAGGGAAGGAAAGCCTGTGTACTGCTGCTCTGATTTGCCTTCACATTGAGCAGCTTGTGAGAGGGAACTGAGTTCTGAGCCATGTCTATCTAAGTGCTTCCTGAGTCCCTGGGTCAAAGTTTTAAATTTGCTTCTTTCAAAGAAACCCCGCAGATGCTGATTTTATGGGACTCTGGGCACGTTCCTTGGCAAAGGCAGGGCGCAGTCCTTTCTGCCTGTGGTCACTGAATGAAGTGAGAACACGGCAAACACCTCAGTTATCCAACAGGCCCTCGCCAGGTAACTGCCCAGAACCAAACACCCAAAAGGAGTGGGAGAAGTCTCTGATAATATAGTGTAGCTGCTGCTGGAGCTTTGCTGGTGGTGGAGTGCCTCAGGGTCTCTCTGCTACGGTTTCTAATTTTTCTCAAGATGGAACTACAAGTCAGAAAGAAATGAAGCTAACAGATACTCAGTATAACTTTTAGAAAATTTTCAGAAGGCCGTTGCTGAGTGGTTTGATTTCCCAACACACAATGGTTTAGAAATAACAAAGGCCAGGGAGTGTATGTGAGGCACAGGTGCTAGAAGCAGGCCCTTCGAGAGCTGAGAAGGGGTGATGGAGAGCGGCTAGCAGGTGGGAAAGTTCCAGTCTCCTACTGAGCAGCCCAGAGCTTTATGCCTGGAGACCCAGAACAGTACAGGACTCTCAGAACTGGGTATGACCCAAGTGATTGAGCTGTGACTGTTCATCTAAAATGAAATGGTTTCGGCACCAAAGAGACTGAAACAGGTTATGAGGAACTCAGTCATTATGGAACTTCTTGGTCCCTAACAAGGCTTACTGATTGTGAGTCCTAGAGCATGTCCCTAATTTCTGTGTCTCAGCTTCCTCATCTCTGTAACGGGCGTCATGAAAGTACTTACCTCGGAAGATTGTTCTGAGGATTACATGAGTTATGTCTGTAAAGCTGTTTGACCAGGGCTGGCACACTCTATGCTTACTCTGGTTATAAATGGAGCAGTATTACAGAGCTATCAGGAAGTTGTGCTTGTTTCACATGAACTTATGGGGATGGCCCTCTTTTCATAGTCTAAAAGAAAAGAGACTAAATTTGGGGGGGAATGTTTGGGGGAGCTCAGGATGACTTGAAGCTAATGTTTTTAGGTGTGTTGGGAACTATATGGAACTTAGAGAAAAAGAAGTGAACAGTTATGTTTTGGACTAATAGAATTAACCCTGTGGGGAAAAAAGGGGGAGGGTGCCTGGGTGACTCATTCGGTTAAGCATCTGCCTTCGGCTCAGGTCATGATCTCAGGGTCCTGGGATCGAATCCCACGTCGGGCTCCCTGCTCAGCAGGGAGTCTTCTTCTATCTCTAACTTCCTTTATGCTCTCTCTCTCTCAAATAAATAAATAAAAATCTTTAAAAAAAAACCAACACGTGGGAATTTTGGAAAATGTAGAAAAGTCAAAACTGAACACAGAAGAGCCTTCCATTCTAAAAGGGAGCAGAAATCCTCACATACCCTCTCTGACATTCCAGTTTCCACATTCCTGCCCCCCGTATTACATGTTTGTGGTCTCCAAAGTTGACCAGTCGACCTAAGTGGAAGGGATTGAGACCACTGGCTTCTAACATTCCCTTGGGTGTTAAAATTTGTAGTTTTCAAATGGAAAAACCAGAGGCTTATCTGCAAAGGTGGCAGGTAGGGACAGCTCCTGGGTGGGGCCCAGGGCTCCGTCTGGCCCCAGGCCACTGTCTTTTGCAAAAGCTTAGCAGGGTGCAGCCCTGTGCCTGCCTGGGAGACACAAATGAGATTCTGCCTGTTGCCCAGTTTTCTAGACTTTTTATTTTTTTCTTGTGCTCATTTTCTCAACAGCGGACAGTGCTTTGAGACTTTCCCTTCACAGAGGGAGGCATGAGGGACTGACTTTCCTGGTCAAGGACTGGTGTGATTATGATGCCTCTCAACTTGCAAAGAACACATTTCTTGAATAGCTTCAAAGAAACCTATCAGAGGCCGAGCTCTAATATTAGCCCCTAGATCGTAGTCAAGGGAGTGAATAGTGAATAATTTCTTTTAGATGTTGGCCATGGCAGGCTGTTTGTCATATGCCTAAGTCTCTCTTCTATAGGCAAGACGAAGACTCTTAGCAAATCTAACAAGGATCCATTAACGGAGGTTTCTCGGTCTAATTAGTCACTAAAGGGAAAAAGTGGCAGCTTGTTATTTAAAAAAATAATGAAAGCTTTTACCTTGACACCTTTCCTTCTGCCACCCAGGAGACTATCTGAATAGTTCACAGAGACTGAAAAGAGCATACACCCAGTGAGGCGGCATGGGGGGTGATTAAAAGCAGACACTGGGGTCAACTACCTGAGTTCGAATCCTGCTCTACCACTTACTAGCTGTATGGACAAGTCTTTAAGCCTTTCTATGCCTCGGTTTTCTTATCTGTAAAATGAGACTAATAATAGTGTCTACTACCTACATTTGTTATGAGGATTAAATGAGTTAATATTGGAGTGTCTTGCTAATATTCTCAAGTGTCCCAGCCCCTCAGGGATAGCCCTCAGGCCACTTGTTACAGAGGATTGGTGCTGTTTTTAATCTTATTTCCCCAAAAATCCCCCACCCCAGGGGCCTGGCATTAACCTTTCCAGTTGGAATCTAAAACTAAAACTGGATATGGGCCTAAAAAGAGGGTAGATTACTCCCCTGCCCCCCCACTGTCACCCCTGCCCCCCACTGTCACCAGAGTATAAGCCCACTACCCCCAGCCCTTCCTCTGCTCCCAGCCTTGTGGGGGGTACCAAGATCTGAAGGGGCATGTCCCTGTTAACCAACTCTATAACAATAAACACTAAGGATAATAAATATTTAGCAGGTGTACATACCGTGCCATATCCTGTTCTGAGCAGTCTTTGAAATTTTCATAAATTCAGTAAAGAATTTTTGAACTTAAATAAAAGGAAATATTTCTGGAACAAAAAAATATACCTAAGCAAAAGTAAATTGTTTTCCATTCTTCTCATATAGGACAGGGAAATGCATACCACCCTTGACATTTAAATAGGATCAGAAGAGCAAACAGTACCAGATGTATAAAGAAGGAACATTTTTGAAGTTTTTCATTGTGTGAGCTGCATGCGTGTATACCACCACTAACAGAAGTTCAGCCTCCTCTCATACCAAGTTTTCTGTTTAAGTAATGTACCCAAAGGTTCCTCTAGCATTGGAAAGCCTTGTCCATTCATTCTTTCCTAATTTGGTCTGACGTGGGTCTCTGAATTTAGTAGGGACTTGACATTTTTGCAGATGTTTTTGACTTAGACCTACTCTAAGAAATACATTTTAAATTATGGCTTCAGTCCACATATAGCCCCCCCCCACATACACAACATGAAACAAGTGCCCAAACAGCATTTTAAATGTGATACATGCTGGTATTTTCAATTCTGTCTAATGTATTACATATTTTATGAAATGTTGGCTATAACTAATAAATTGCTTTCATGGCCTACTAATGTTAGAGAAACTCTGGTCCAATATAGATCTAGTATTATGTAATTTAGGTAAATTTCTAAGGATCAAATAAAAGAAAAATGAAATATTTGAGAGTTTGAATAAGATGAAGAGCTCAGTGGTTAGAAGCCCCCTAATACCCAGTGAAATTAGGTACTGTGTAGAGGTAAAGCATGGAAAGACCATTTGGTCCTTCTTACTCCCTCCCAGACTCTGGATCTCAAAACTAAAGATCTGCAATGTCCAGTATGATAGACACTAGCCACAAGTGTTTACATTTAAGTCATTTCAATGTAAATAAAATAATTCAGATCCTCCGTAGCACCAGTCATATTTCAAGTATCCAACAACCACATGACTACCGTATTGGACAGTGTTAGTCTAGGTGGAGCATGAATGGGAGATGTACCAGCTTAATATCTCTGGTGTCCCCATGTGCTAAATGAGGGTGTTGATCTTGACCACCTCTAAAATCTCTTCCAGCTCAAATGTTTCTTATTTTGAAAGCACACGGAGTTATTGTGTGAATGTGAGGAGTTAGGAAAAGTGCCTGAAGACAGAGCTCTGAGGGCAGGCAAACCTGCTTACAGGACAAACAGCTGATCCCTGAACGCAGGAGAGCTCAGGAGTAAGGAAGCAGCGTCTGTGTTTAAAAGCCAAAGGGAGAGGGGTAAGAAGCTTGCAGAGAGGAGATCAAAGTCAGAGGGCTGACACTACCCGACTATGTAAGACTTACCATAAAACAACAGTAGTCGAGACAGCGTGGTGTTGGCGAAGGAATAGTCAAATAGACCAATGGAATGGAATAGAGAGTCTGTGTAAATGTAGTCAACTGATCTTTGACAAAGAAGTAGAGGTGATACAATGGCACAAAGATAATCTTTTCAACAAATTGTGCTGGAACAGCTGGACATCTGACACCTAGACACAGACCTTGCACCATTCACAAGAATTGACTCAAAATGGGTCACAGACTTAAATATAAATGGAAAACTCTAAAACTCCTGGAAGAAAACGTAGAAAACCTAAATGACCTTTAATATGGCAATGACTTTTTATTTTTTTTAATTTTATTTTATTATGTTAGTCACCGTACAATACATCATTAGCTTTTGATGTAGTGATCCATGATTCATTGTTTTCGTATAACACCCAGTGCTCCATGCAGAAAGTGCCCTCCCATCACCAGGCTAACCCATCCCCCCACCCCTGTCCCCTCTAGAACCCTCAGTTTGTTTCTCAGAGTCCATAGTGTCTCATGGTTCGTCTCCCCCTCTGACTTATTCCCCTTCATTCTTCCCCTCCTGCTATCTTCTTTTTCTTGCTGCTTTTATTTTATTTTATTTTATTTTTTTAATTTAATTTTATTTTGTTATCTAAGGCACCATGCAATACATCATTAGTTTTTGATGTAGTGATCCACAATTCATTGTTTTTGTATAACACCCAGGGCTCCATGCAGTATGTGCCCTCCTTAATACCCATCACCAGGCTAACCCATCCCCCCACCCCTCTCCCCTCTAGAACCCTCAGTTTGTTTCTCAGAGTCCATAGTCTCTCATGGTTTGTCTCCCCCTCCGATATCCCCCCTTCATTTTTCCCTTCCTTCTCCTAATGTCCTCCATGCTGTTCCTTATGTTCCACAAATAAGTGAAACCATATGATAATTGACTTTCTCTGCTCGACTTATTTCACTTAGCATAATCTCCTCCAGTCCCATCCATGTTGATGTAAAAGTTGGGTATTCATCCTTTCTGATGGCTGAGTAATATTCCATTGTATATATGGACCACATCTTCTTTATCCATTCTTCTGTTGAAGGGCATCTCGGCTCTTTCCACAGTTTGGCTATTGCAGACATTGCTGCTATGAACATTGGGGTGCAGATGGCCCTTCTTTTCACTTCATCTGTGTTTTTGGGGTAAATACCCAGTAATGCAATTGCTGGGTCATAAGGTAGCTCTGTTAATTTTGGGGGGAACCTCCACACTGTTTTCCAAAGTGGCTATACCAACTTGCATTCCCACCAACAGTGTAAGAGGGTTCCCCTTCCTCCACAACCTCTCCAACATTTGTTGTTTCTTGCCTTGTCAATTTTTGCCATTCTAACTGGTGTAAGGTGGTATCTCAGTGTAGTTTTGATTTGAATTTCCCTGATGGCTAATGATGATGAACATTTTTTCATGTGTCTGTTAGCCATTTGTATGTCTTCTTCAGGAAAGTGTCTGTTCATGTCTTCTGCCCATTTTTTGACTTGATTATGACAATGACTTTTTAGATACAACACCAAAGGCACAATCTGTGAAGGGTGCAGAGAAGTGTTTTTACTTTACTCCCACAGCCTCAGCTCCTTGCCATTGTATGTACGGGTAGGAGGAACAAGGGAAAGGAGAATGATTTTGTGGATGCATGAGCTATATCTCACTGCCCCCAGGTGGTGCCTTCCCAGGGATTAATATCTGAGAGCAGAGCTATAGAAAATTCAGTCATCCCTTTGAACGTGTGTATTTTTTTTGGTTGTAAATTCTTTGCAGTTAGTACTATATCCTATTTTTTAGCCTTTTATGCAGTTTTGAGATATTTAAATACAATAAAATGCACCCATTTTAGGTGTACAGTTCAATGAGTTTTAATAAAGAATGAGTTGCAATAAAGAAAGTCTAATAGCGAGAAGGAAACCCCAATTTTATGTAACCTAATCATGAAAATGACATCCATCACCTTTGCTGAATTCTGTTGGCTAGAAGCAAGTCATAGGCCCCACCCACACTCAAGGGGAAGGTATCGTACAAGGTGTAACTACCAGGAATCTGTCTTAGATGGCTTGCCAAGCTGGGTTGAAGTCAGACCTACCTACCTCTGAAACAAAAAGTGCTGCAAATGGTTGCCTAGAGATTCTAGTGCTAGGTAAACAACTCAGCCACGGAAGTAAGTATTAATGGATAAGTTTGGCATAATTGTAAAGGATGATTCAGTCTTTTACAAATGGACCATCACTGGGATTTTGTTACATATCAAGACCAGTGTCCTGCGTAGAGCCTGACCCAAAGGAGGCCCTCAATAAAAACTGTTCACATGAATAGATTTTGGTTTCAAAATCTAGCTTAACTTGACCAGCCCTATTGCCCTCCTTTTAGAACAAATACTTTATAAAATCCTTCATCCTGAAATGAAATCCATAAATAGAATTTCAGTTCATTTCAATTTCAAAGCATCAATATGACTCAACAGAAAGATAAAAGGGGAGTAATTTATAATAAAAAATAATGTGTTTCAATATGTAAAGATCCTAATTAGGTGTTTGCTTCTGAATTTACATTCACCATTTATGAGACAGCTGTAAATGCGGGCTGGTACTTGATACTAGTGTGTGCAGTTAAGGACCCATAACCTACAATTTGCCATTGGTGATGTGATTTTCCAGAAAGATGAATAATCTTTGGAAACCTTCTGAACAAACCAAAATAAAAACTTATTCCACTTTTGCACAGTAATTGCATTCCTAGAAAATTCAGTGTATGTCCAAATTGTGCAAAAAAAAAAAATACCTTGTTTTGGAAGGAGTTTAGGCTGAGGTAATTATAAATAAGGCTTTCATCTATAGGTATGTCATATAGGACATTTGGAAAGTGTGAGGGCCACACTCAGGAGAATGAATGGCTGGGACCTGGCACTCCCCCCATACACACTCCGCAATGGTAGGAATGCTCCCCAATTATTTTGACAATGAAAACACTCCCTTGGATTTCACCAGTGGGCAATACCACTACTGTTGAAAACCACTGCAACAGGGTTTAACTTCTAGGGGAAGTGATGCAGTTTTTCTGGAGTGCCACGATGGAGATAAGGATAAAAATCGGTGTGCCCTGAGTATCTATTGTGGCCCAGCAGCCGAGGCCTAGCTGGGTGCTTGGATCAAGCAGCGACCACAGTAACTCCTGGACAGAGAGGGAACACTGTGTTAGGCTGTCAGGAATGGGCATCTGAAAGTGGACACTTTGCTGAATTTTAAGAACACTGACAAAGTGCTTTCTTTTCCAACAGAAACCTGTTTCCCTCAAATCTTGTGGTTGCCGCTTTCCGTACGGTAAGGCTTGATGCTTTCCAAAAAATAAGAAACGTTTATGGGGGTGGTGTATAAATGATGCTATGCAGTTAGGTAAGGTGGGTCAGAGAGGGGTAGTGTTGTTAACAAAACTTGGTAAGCCTCGCCTAAATTTTTGTAGAGGGGACCCTAGAGTAAAAACAAAATGAAATGACAAAAAACAAAAAGGTTTTCTAAAATATCCCACTGGTTCCACCATCCTTTCATATCACCTGAGAAGTACTCTTAAATAACATTTTGAGGATCTCTTAAATATTTTAGAATTTTTAAAAAATATACTTTTATCTTTTTTCTGATTATAAAGGTAATATATGCTCATGTAAAAAATAAAAAATAAAGTGCAAAAATATGGAAGAAATTAAAAATCACTCATAATCACTACCTAGAGATACCCATTAACATTTTGGTATACGTCCTTCAGATATGTTTTTTCTCTGCATGTGCCACACACGTTTTAAAAATAAAAACAATTGTACATCTGCCTTCGGCTCAGATCATGATCCCAGGGTCCTGGGATCGAGCCCCACATTGGGCTCCCTGCTCGTGGGGAAGCCTGCTTCTCCCTCTCCTACTCCCTCTGCTTGTGTTCCCTCTCTCTCTGTGAAATAAATAAATAAAATCTTTAAAAATAAATAAATAAAAATAAAAACAATTGTACTACACATTTTGTTAGTATGTATACATGCTACACATACTGTTTTTAACCTCTTTTTTTAAGGCGGCATATTATAAACTTTTTTTCATGTTGGTAAATACCCTTCTGCATAATGTTAATGGCCCTATTCCAATGTGTGAGCATATCATAATTTTATTCTGTCAGTCCCTTATTGATAGACATTCAGATTGTTTCTAGTTTTTCCTAATTTTAGCAAGACTGCAAGTAACGTCCCTATAGCCATGCTATATGAGGAGAAGGAGTATAAAGGTCTAAATTAGATGACTAATCTCATTGACTTTTAAGCAAAGACTTTTCTGTTTCTATTTACAGCCTCTCCCTCTCTGTCTTTCAAAAAAAAAAAAATGTGTGGGGCGCCTGGGTGGCTCAGTTGGTTAAGCGGCTTCCTTCGGCTCAGGTCATGATCTCAGGGTCCTGGGATCGAGCCCGGCGTCGGCATTGGGCTCCCTGCTCAGTGGGGAGCCTGCTTCTCCCTTTCCTTCTGCCCCTCCCCCCTGCTCATGCGCTCGCTCTCTTTCTCAAATAAATAAATAAAATCTGCATATAAGTACAGCTGTGGCTTATATATATAATGTGAGGGTAGGAAAAAAACAAAAGGTTTATGGGGCTTTCAGTGCCTATCACAGAAGGCATGGGATGGGTTTTTTTCCCATCACCCGTAATCACAGGATAGCTGAACACCTCTGCTTGTCTGAAAGCTTGATAAATCAAAGGTGAGAGAGACCAGGCCGCATCAAAGGCAGGCACAAAGCAGTACCCCATAATGGGCTCCTCTTGACAGTTCAGAGCCAGGTGTCCTTAGAAGGGGTCGGGAAAGGCATTTTATAAGAAACTCCATCCAGTCGTGCATTTTGCCATAGGGAGACACCTGCATGCATTGTGCAGAAGTATGTGAAGCCAGTAGGACCCAAATTTGGAGAGTCATGTCACTTCTGATAAGTGAGTCTCCCACAAGACTTAGCCAAAAAATGCCGTCTTGCCTCACATCCTTTGCTTTGGAGAGCGGAGGCCAAGCCGATTAGAAGTAGATGCTGAGGGGCGCGGGGTGGTTCAGTAGGTTGTGTCTGCTTTTGGTTGAGGTCATGATCTTGGGGTCCTGGGATAGCCGCGCATTGGGCTCCCTGCTTAGCGGGGAGTCTGCTCCCTTTCCCTCTGCTCCTAACGCCTCCCCCACACCTGGTTCATGCTCTCACTCTCTCTCTCTCTCAAATAAATAAATAAAATCTTAAAAAAAAAAGTAGATGCTGAAAAGCAGTCAAGCTCAAATAAGTTCTGGAACAAAGTGGAACATATGAATGAAAATAAAATGACACATTAAAAAGTGAACTTCAACATTATGAAATTAATACCAAAGTTCAAAGTGTCAGGTGTTTGAAATATCAAACTATCAGCATGAAATTTGTAGACATTTTCCTCCAAATCATTGCCCCTAGTGGTGTGGGTCCCTAAATAACTCAGAGGCCTCTTGGGATGTATGCTGCCTTGGTCTTCAGTAACTTTTGTATGGTTCTCAGAGGCCCTCATTAGGCCAACCAAGTGAGGAATTCCCAGAACCCTCGGAGTGAATAAGAAGAGTAATAAGAGGTCCAGCAGTCCTCTTAGAGTCTCTAGTCGGCCTTCACCTGTGAAGTGACAGCATCTTCTTCTTTCTCTTGTTCCCAGTATGCAACTGATTATAGAGAGGTGACCCACAACACGAGCTCTGGAAATGTAACCCGTGAGAAGGTAAGGCTCTTTCTAAGATCACTTGTGGCTAATAACTTATAAAGCAAATAATGCTTTTTAACTGAAGGAGCATACAAGAGGCATCCTCTCAGCAGGGCTGAAAACTCTGGGGTTTGAAGGAACTATTTGAAGAACATAATTAGGCTTGCTCCTTAGGTTATTTACCAACATGGCCCAAGGCCAGCCTCTGCAGCACTGCAATCTTTAGCAGATCCATTGCATCAAATTGGAACTGATGTCCCTTTCTTCAAAAAATATTTTGTAACACCCCTTCTGCTATCCTGAAATATAATAGCTGATTTAACCTATCTCGACACACAGAGCTTAACTCACTATAGCCATCATTCACTCACACGTATTTTTTGAGTAGCCATTATCGGTTGGACACTGGGTAAGGCCCCAGCCTTCATGATGGAGGTGGAAGGACAGGGAGAGGGGCCAAGGTAATCGAGGATTACTCGGTGCTGCTACAGAGCTGTCATGGGAAGAAGGAGGTACTTCACCCTTTCCCCATCCCCACACATAACAGCTTCTCAGGGCCGAGGGGCTCTCAGCTCTACCAGCCTTTCTTTGAGGAAAAGTTGTACTGAAAAAAAAAAAAAAGTCGAAAGCTACTAGTTAGTCCAAATCACTTCCTCTTGCAGATGAAAGACTTGAAGGTCAGAGAGGTTATTTAATACCAGAGCTGGGACTAGAACTCAGGTCTATGGTAAAAATGTTCTTTCTCTTTTTACCATGCTGATAGATATTTCCCATTCAGAATTTCGTGTGTTTTGATGGAATAATATGTTTGTCCAATGTATGCTTGTAGTAGTGAGATTGAGCATTATGGAAAAAAATAAGGAATATAGTATATCCATATATTTTATTTTAAGTCAGTGACTCAGGAAAGAATATCCTGAAAACCTTTTGTGAAATTTGTCAGCTAGGAGGCCACAGTAACAGTCTAGCAACAAAAGATTTGTTGACATTTGGGAGGCACAGTTACAATCATTGACTCTCGATCTGAAGGAACTTTTCACCAACCAGCTCTTCTTTTATGTTTTTTTAAGAAAATTTTTCTTTATATTTATTACTGCAGTATAGTTGACATGCAGTGTCATATTAACCAGCTCTTCTTTTAAAAGCAACCTTTTGGGGGCGTCTGGGTGGCTCAGTCGGTGAAGCATCCAACTCTTGATCTCAGCTCAGGTCTTGATCTCAAGGTCATGAGTTCAAGTCCTGCGTTGAAAATGCTACTTGATAAAATAAAATAAAAGCAACCCTTTGAAGTGATTGTCCAACCGCTACTTGAATTCTCACTCATCTGTTGTAAACTTAGACCCTCTGTCCCCTCTGATCCCACAGATTCCCATTGGCACCGAGATCGAAGGGATGAACATTTTAGGATTGGTCCTCTTTGCCCTAGTGTTAGGAGTGGCCCTAAGGAAACTCGGCTCTGAAGGAGAAGAGCTCATCCGTTTCTTTAATGCCTTCAATGAGGCGACGATGGTGCTGGTGTCGTGGATTATGTGGTAAGTTTGCCCCGCCTGCTACTCTCCCTCTCATTTCTTTTGCCATCCAGAAAAGAACCCAAGTCTACTGTCCTAGGTCACCCCTGTGGGGCCGCCCAGCTAAGTGCTTCGCCTATGATTAATGCATCATAGGCCAAACCTGATACAGTGATACAGGGGGTCGTGGAGGTGGAGACAGTTTCTCCTCTTGTCCAGGACCTCAGAGAATCAGGCATGTGCCATAGTTACCAGTCCCTTCTTCAACACCCACAGGGACCCTTTATGGTTCTATCACTTGTGATTTATTTATGAGTTTCCCCCATTATCCATAGCATATGGGATGCCTATATCATCTTGTGGGGCAATGAACTCCATAAGTGTGCTACCTGCTGCATAAAATAAGGCTTATTTATCTTAAAACCGTAGACTTCAAGCTTCAAAGGGGCCCCTTCCTATAATATTTCACAGCATGGAAGACAAATTCATTTTCACCCCATGCATATATAAACTTGGAATGGTCTCTTTTCACATAAATGTTTCTTTATGTAACATCAATAAAAGCACAGTTGTTTAATAAAAACCATTGGATTGATTTCCGGCTTACAGGTAAAAATTTGACCAGAGGTCTCGAAGTGACTCCTCAGAAATCATACCAATTCCACTGCCTATCCCTCATTAGCTTTATCTTGCTGTTTTACTTGAGCCAAACTTCCGTGGGTTTTAGCTTCTACTCGTACGTTGTCCAGAAATATAGTTTATCCTTTCATACATGAAGCATTTTCCTTATCGTCAACCCTTAACTATCCCACAACTTCTCTATCTCAGATGGCATGGGGGTGGCAGATCTTAGGAGAGAAGACTGGAATTTGGTAGTAAAGTTTGGAATTGAAGGGGAGGCCAAGTCCAGAGCTCCCACTGGTGGTGTTTATCTTCCTCAATCAAAAACTCCAGAGTCTGACTCTTTCATTGCAAACACGACTATTCATATGACTGTTGTTGTTCTGGGGAGAAAAATATTTTCAGAAAGGAAAAAGTGTTTTCATCACATGTCAGGTTCTTTCCCTTTCCCTTATTTTTTTTTAGTCTAAAATCCTCCCAAAGTTTGGATTAAAGGAAATTATGCAAGAAAGTGGTGTTGCGATGTTAAGACATTTGTTTTCAATCTGAAAACCAATTTATAGTCATTCCTTCAATTCGATGTTCTAGTTATATAAGCGGGTGTTCAGTAAGGCAGATCCTGCTGTGTGTTTGACTGCAGTGGGAGATCTGTTGCCCAGCAAGTGCATCTCACACAAAATTCGGGTTTAAAATGCCTTACCTGGTTAAAGGATCTCAACCAGGTTTGAAAGGGATCTCCAGTAGCAGCTCTTTCTGCTATCTTTCCTTTGCTAATTACTTACTGTAATGTCAAAGCACCTGCCTGTCCTGCACTATTCACAGAAATAATGCCTCAGTTGATTAAATACAGCCTCAGCAAACTTGGCAGACCATATGGTCTCTGTCACAACTACCAACTCTGCCATTATAGGATGAAAGCAACTGTAAACTATTTATAAATGAATGAATGTGGTTGTTCCAATAAAATTCAGGGTGCTAACCCATGCATTAAACCATCCAAGGAGGAAGGAAGAAAGGAGGAGGGGGGTCCCCTAAAAGTATTAGAAGAAAACATAGGGGTATGGAAACTCTGCCTAAATGGAATGCAAAAAGCCATAAAAAGCTGCTAAATTTGACTAGATCAAAATATAAAATGTTTGTATACAAAAGATACCTTGAACAAAAGAAGACACTGAAAATAATTTATATATATTTACCTATAATGTATATATGAACACACACACACGCACATCTCAAAGCATTAGTTTCCAGAGGACTGGTACCAATTCACAAACTATTTATCTGTCTGCAATGAGATTTATAGGGAAATTGAGGATAAGTGTTTAGAAACTTTTGTAGCAATTTCATATTGCTGCAACATCCAAGCACATGATCACTTTTCTAATATTTTATTTCTGTTGTCTTTTATAAGAACATGGTCCATGACCAACTGGATAGAAATACACCAAAGATCATTTGAGAAGCACTAATGCAAAGAGTTCTGGTCGTTGGGAAAAAGAAAAAAGACTAAATATACTATTAGAAAGTAGACAAAGTATGTGAGCAGACAATTCATAGAAGAGGAAACCTGAATGACCAATAAACATTTTAAGGGATGCCCAACTTACTAGGATTAGGAAAATGAGAAGTTTGGTTTTATTAGGCGTTGATAAGAGTGAGGATAGTTTTGAGCAAACGTTGGGGTGTTTAGCAGCATCCCTGGCCTCTAGATGCCAGTGCCACCCCTCCCCAAAGCTATGACAACCAAAAATATCTCCAGACATTGCCAAATGACCCACAGGGGCAGAATCATCCCTGGGGCAGAATCATCCCTGGGGCAGAACCAGTGGTTCAGGGAAAAGATTATTCTCCTGGACAGCTGGTGGGAATATGAATTGGAACAGCTACTTTAAAGAACGATTTGTTGATATCTACTAAAATTTAAAATATGCACACCCCGTAATTCAGCAGTTCTACTTCTTGATGTCTCTACCTGGAGAACACAGGCAGGTACGCACAAAAGAGGCTGCTTGCAGCATTGTTTATAATGATGAAAACCTGGGAATAGTCTGGAGGTCCGTCAGCAGAACAATGGCAAGATAATCTACAGTATTTCAGTTTTGAGGCTAATATTTAAGAAGAGTAAGGTAAAGGTGGAAACAAACTGAGTACTTGGGGGTCAGATGTGGAAGGGAGACTTTATTCGCCCTTTTGAACCCTTTCAAATTTGAACTATGTGATATTATTATCTATGTAATTGAAACTTACAAATAAAGTCAATGGTTATAAAATTCTTCCTAAATTTATTTTCATTTAAAACAGCTGACTTTGGGGTTTTGTAGCTCCCATAGTTCATTCCTTCCCTTTCTTCTTCCCGTCTCGCCATTAAAAAAATCTTCATGTTCGAGGAGTGTTCCCTAAGGGTCATTGTTAATGACTTTTTCCCATGGAGTCATGTTTTCCAAACCACAAAGAATTTAAAACTTAACAAAAGTCCCAGCTTTGGCTCAATTCTGTATCACAGCAATTCTGCAAAATAGGTGTTAGTCTTTTGTGTTTCTAAGTTCTCAGAACAAGTCTGACCAAGGCTGAAAGTCAAGTTCTCAGTCCCAGAGGCTTTGATCTTGAGGAGTTCCTCGGCTTTTCATTTTGGAGCCCATGTGGTTGGTAGCATCCCTCTGTTAAGAACATAATATATCCAAGGAGAAAGAAATCTGGACTCTGGTCCTGACTCTATTACTCATGGTGATTTATCATGTTAATTCTACTCAGTTTCACAGCCTATAAAATGGGCCCATCCTTTTCAATTCCTCAGGATCATTCTAGGGAGAGCTTCTTCTTTTTTTTTTTTTTTTTAAGTAGGCTTCATGCCCAATTTGGGGCTCGAACTCACCACCCTGAGATCAGGAGTTGCATGCTGTACTGACTGAACCAGCCAGGTGCCCTTAGCCTCATCCTAGGGAGAAATGAAGACCACTTAGTTGAAAGTCCCTGTGTTGTGTATTCAAGAAGGGCCTGCATCTCCCGGTCCCATCATCCCATCACTCTTACTGACGGGGACCTATGCTCACGCCCTAGGTATGTACCGGTGGGCATCATGTTCCTGGTTGGAAGCAAGATTTTGGAAATGAAGGATATCATCGTGCTGGTGACCAGCCTTGGAAAATATATCTTCACATCTATATTGGGCCATTTTATTCATGGAGGAATTGTTCTGCCACTTATTTATTTTGTTTTCACGCGGAAAAACCCATTCAGGTTCCTCCTGGGCCTCGTCACGCCATTTGCAACAGCGTTTGCTACCTGTTCTAGGTGAGTCGGTTTCAGGCGCCCTCGGCTGCTCTGAGCCATAGTCCTGTGGAACCAGCTGAGTCCAGTCGTAGATGCACAACCAGCGTTTGGTGTATTTTGATTTATTGAAAACTATAAATTGGTCTTGTCTGGTTTTTTGAATTACCAGCCCCACACTTTTATGGAAGTGGGTTTCTGGGATTGCCAGAATGAGGGATTGTCTCATTCCCTTCTCCTTCTTGCTCCTTAGAGGTCAGATCATTATTTAACCTCATTGTGGGTCCTCACCCTAATTAGTAAAAGAAGGCAACCACTTATCTCAAAATGCATTGCAGGGAAGTTTCTAGAATGATGCTTGCCCAATTCTCCCTCTGGATACATGGATTAGAAAATAAGACCAAGGTGAGGAATGGGTGCTTCGCTCTCTGGGAGTCCACAGTATTGTGGGATTATCTAATTTAGTACAAAAGATGCACCTTGTCATTATTGGAAATGCTTCCAAAGAATTGGGCTTTCCGAGTATGTTAAAGAAAACTTTCAAAGGATGGCTGCACATTGCATTCATACGTTTGGTTTTTGCCTCTCTGCTGCATGTTTCCTCCCATCCTGAATGGCTATTTCTATGATAAGGTGGTGATGGTAAAAAGAATTAAGGAGGAAAGTTTCTCTGGCTTAGAAACAAATCTGCTTCTCAGCTGTGGCAGCCACCTGCGGGACTAGCTGGAGAGAGCAGGGCTTGTTCTTCCAGTAATCCAGGAACATAGTCCTCTCCAGGCTCTCACAGCCCTTGCTATTCTTGGCCTAATAGGAAAAAAAAAGTCATAGTTTGCCTTTGACTTCTGGGGGGAACATTTCAAGAGAGGAGATACGCATGTAGAGTAAATAGTTCTTTGCTGTCTTGAGACCATTTTGCACCATGAGGTAATGTGGGGTTTCTTGAAATATTTGGAACAGGTGTATCCAGGTAAATAACATAACAGGTCAATCTAGGGAGTCAGATTTTGAATACTTTGGGAATTGACATTACCGCACATTGTGACAGAAGCTTTGAAACAATTCCAATTTTTCTCTTTCTTCAAGGGAAGAAAACCAGATCCTGGGATGGTGCTAATTGCTCTGTTCCTGGGTCTGAGCTGAGCAGTCTCTTAGCCAGGCTGGGAAGGACTCTTGTCATGGTTGGCCGTTTCTCCCTTTCCAGCTCAGCGACCCTCCCCTCCATGATGAAGTGCGTTGAGGAGAACAACGGTGTGGATAAGAGGGTCAGCAGGTTCATCCTCCCCATCGGGGCCACTGTGAACATGGACGGGGCAGCCATCTTCCAGTGTGTGGCCGCGGTGTTCATTGCCCAGCTCAACAACATTGAGCTCAAAGCAGGACAGATTTTCACGATTCTGTAAGTTCATCATTCTTCATCTTCAGGTCTGGGTCAAAACTTCAGAGGTTTTTCGTTATGTGTGTGATTTCCTTTGAAATACCTCATGAATACCAATCTCACCATGACTTGGTGGGGGGCGGTTCCCATTTGGAAAATGACAACGTGAATTCATTACTTAAAGAGAGTGGATCCTCTCTGAAGGGCTTAGCCAGCAGCATCTAGGGTTGTGTGGTTTTCGGTTTCTAAACCATAGCCGCCATATTGCATTTCTCTGTGCTCACACCATGTTCTGTGTCAATGGCTAGTCTTCTTTGCCATCCCGTAGAGTGACAGCCACAGCATCCAGTGTCGGTGCAGCCGGCGTGCCGGCTGGAGGGGTCCTCACCATCGCCATTATCCTGGAGGCCATCGGGCTGCCCACTCATGACCTTTCCCTGATCCTGGCTGTGGACTGGATTGTGTAAGTAGCAAGTCCTAAGGGCACTGAAAAAAAGAAAGTCTGTGTCGACTTTCCTAGGAGCTTGGCACCCTGCTGGGTCTGGGGTATGTGGAGAAACTTCAGACATGCCTTGTGAAGGAGCCTACAGTTGAGCTGGCAAGACAGAATTTTTTTTTGAGATTTTATTTATTTATTTGTCAGAGAGAGAGCATGAGCACAAACAGGGGGAGTGGCGGGCAGAGGGAGAAGCAGGCTCCCCGCTGAGCAGGGAGCCCGATGCAGGACTCGATCCCAGGAACCCTGGGATCATGACCTGAGCCAAAGGCAGACGCTTAACTGACTGAGCCACCCAGGTGTCCCAGGCAAGAAAAAATTTAGAGCTAGGAAAAATTAAACAGTGTAAGAGTCAAAGGCCCATGAATGACCATGAAATGTCATTACTGAGAACTTGGTTTGAGCATCCAGGAAAATGGGGTCCAAGACCCAGGCTGGGCCCCCAGGGCAGGCACAGGCGGGACAAGGGTCTAATGGAGATGGTTGGCTGCATAGGGGTCATAGCCATTGGAGCAGTGAGCCTTTGGGAATGATTGTCCTTGGCCTGGAACATGCAAGGAGTGATTTTGGCGAGGGAAGTGAAGATGAACCCAGCTGATGTGAGTGGATTGGGGAAGAGGAGTTAGGAAGGAGGTGTGATTCAGGCCACCATCACCAGGGCTCCTGTAAGGGCATAGGACAGTGAGTGTTGATTCTGAGTGTGGATTCCTTGAGTTGTGTGATACCTTCTTTAGGTGTAAACAATACTTGTTATATAGGGAAGGTCACCTGAGGTACTAATGTTGGACAGTAGAGCACATGGATAAGAAAATGAAACCCTGGAGCCCTGGAGCCCAGGTACCTGGGTTCAAATCCCAGCTTTACTAGTTGTGTGATAGGGAACTGTTCTGTGCTTTGATCTGCTCACCTGTCAAATGGGAATAATAATAGAAGCTACACCAGAGCTGTGTTGGAGATGAACTAAGTTAGCATATCCACAGTGCATAGAAGAGTTCCAGGTTTGTGGTAAAGCGTTCAGTAAACATTAGTGAAGAAAGACACTGCCGGCCAGGCTAGCCAGAGCCAGGCATGGCATAACCTAAACACTGGAGTCTGGCACTGGGCTCGTGGCTCTGCCCACTGTGGTTGGGAATGGTGGTTTCCAACCTTTTGTGTAAGCCCTGGAAATTTGAAAGGACTTCTCAGAATCCTTACAGTTCCTCAGAACAAGGAGGGTGAAATGTGCAGCAGAGACCCACATTGTCCACACAGCTCATCAGAGGGAACTCAGTCCCTGAGCTGGTGAGTTGGACAGGACCAGAGCAGAGTGTCAGAGGCCCCGTCTGCTTCCTCAGCCAGCTGCCTCTGCATGAGGAAGGCATGCATTTAAGAGGCAGTTAGTCAGGAACAGGGACAGGGCACCAGGCAGACTGCCCAGGAGAGACCTGAAGTCACATGAGCCACCCACCACCCCGCGGCCTCTGTTTGCACAGCCCTCAGCTTCTCCGGTGCGTGCAGGTGAGTTCACTTCTTGCCCCGAAACGGTTGCTCTGAGCCCCAGGAGGGAGGGGGTGGTGATTGGGCTAATCTGTGGGAAGACCAGCTCCTGGAAAGGACAATGCTATGAGATGGTGTTTGCCAACTGCCATGGAATACATGCGAAGTTGAACATTGAGCAGAGACACGGTGTTGAGGCGAGAAAAAGAAGGGGCGTTCTCACGGTGTACTGCTGAGCAGGAGAGAAGCTGGGTCCGAAACCCTGTCTACACTCTCCGTCCCAGCTACGTGGGACTCTCATACCATGGTGTCTACTCAACATAAAATACATACCTAGAAAGATGTTACTAGATTCACTGGGAGTTGTGAAGTGTGGGTGGGTGACCTTTGTTTTCTTCTTTATACTTCTCTTCTTTCCAGGTTTTCCACAGTCAGGGTCTATTACTTTCCTGAGAATAAGAAATACTGAAAGAAGCTCAGTTTAGAGTAAAGTGAGGCCTGTGCCCTGGGCAGCACGACAAGGGTGCACGCAGGCTGCTGTGGCAGCAGGGCCCAGCGGCACCTGCGGCAAGGCCTGCCTTTTCTCCCCCCTCAGGGACCGCACCACCACCGTGGTGAACGTGGAAGGGGACGCGCTGGGTGCGGGCATTCTCCACCACCTCAATCAGAAGACCATGAAGAAAGGGGAGCAGGAGCTGAGCGAAGTGAAGGTGGAGGCCATCCCCAACTGCAAATCGGAGGAGGAGACGTCGCCCCTGGTGACGCACCAGAACCCCGCTGGCCCCACAGCCAGCGCCCCCGAACTGGAATCCAAGGAGTCCGTTCTGTGAGGGGGCTGGCTCCGGGCTGGCCCCCCTGGGTGGTGGTGCCCCGCTGTGGGAGGGCGGCCAGCGGGCATGGGCACTGTGCTCAGCGACTTTTAGCCCTAAGCAATGCTTTGGCCCAGTCACCTGTTCGAGGATTGTGTCTCCGTGCTGGCATTGGGCTTCCCAGTGGGACTGGTTACCGGAGACCAGGACGCTCTGCCATATGGCTTGATCCATGTCCAGGTGCAGCTGCGTGTGCTTTGGAAACCCGTCCTGGAGCTGCAGGCTGGGGGCGGAATGGGCTCCCAGGGACCGGGCGGGTTAGCACTTGGAAAAATGTACATGTGCCCTTCACTCTGCCCTCGGGGGCTTTCTGGGCAGACGTAGGGGGTTTACAGTCCTCTGTCACGCTGCCTTGTGAGCCAGAGTAATTGGAAAAATTCCCAAATTCTTACCCTTGGCTGGAATTCACTGAGCTGGGACTTGAGGTATTGAGATTTCGAACTTTGAGGTGTGGCTGTTTCTGATTCACTGGTTGCTCGTAGGCTTGGAGGCGCTGCACGTGGTCCAGTTAGAAATACTCCAGATGGCGTTAGTACTGTGGGGGTCTCTGGTCAATGGCATGAAATAAACAGTTTAAATGCTGAGGTCAGAGAAAGGAGGGGGGGTTTAGCTGGCAAGGGTAAGGAAAGCACCCTATCAGGACAGACAGACACACACGCAGAGGTACACACAGGCGTCCTCAGTCTCATCCCAGCCGCACGGAAGTTTTCTGCTTCCAGGACCTGGCCTCTGACAACACTGTAGCTTTATCCCCATCCACTCTGATCTGGCAACAGGCCAGAGAGGGGCCTCTTCCTCCATGATGATCACATTCAGTACCTGCTGGTTTATCAATCCATTCTTAGAATTCAGCTAGCCCCCTAAAATGCTGCACTGTGCAAAACAAAAACAAACAAACAAAAAAACACATAAAGCCACTCACTAATTGGGGTGGGGTGGGCTGCCCCCATTCCCAGGTGCCCAGGTCCCCTGGCTTTGGCTGATTGCTGTGGGCTTGGTTTCTTTTCCTGCCAGTAGATCAAGAGTTTAAAACTGTAAGCTAAATGTTCCCATTCCTGCAAATACCTGCTGACTTGGTCTGAATCTAGGTGAGGGGGCTTTTTCAAGAAGACCGGTGTTGCCAGGGACAGGGAGACCGAAAGGCACAAGAATGCTCTTTTGCTGTGGCTGTCGCTGTGTCTCCACGGTGTGACCTGCAGCGAGTCCTGGGCCTCACTTTACCCCATTTGTAAAATGGGCTGTTGTCACCTGCCTCTTACCTACCTCAGAGGGATTTGGTGAGGCAAACTGAGTGAATCCATGAAAATACCCCTTTCACTTCTTGGATATCAAGTGCTAACACCTCTTTGCTCTTCTTATGTTTTACCCAAATGATACCTTTTTTCACGGAGGCCTCATGCTCCTGGTAAAGACAGCTTCTCTGAGCAGAACTTTGTTCTCTTGTGTGCGTTAGCAGCTCTATCATGCCACCTGTTCTCTTCGTAGGTATTTGCTAGCATCAAGTATGACCTCTTCCTGATGTTGTTCAGGTGTTCCTGAATGAACCACCCCATCTTGCATCACCTTCTGGGTCCCTGGCTTCCCTGTGACTCCCAGACCCCAGGCACCGGCTCGGCCACCCCACAATGGGCCATTAACAGCTCTTGGATGTTTGGCCTTGGGTGTTTTCTTGTTTTCCCTGTTGCTGTGGCATGGCTGTCACCCAGACCCTGCAGAAGGGGAACACGCCCTGAAGATGTGTGTCCGCGCTGTTGAGAATGGGCGGGCGGGGACAGAGGCAGTCAAGCTCCTCCGTTTTAAAATTGGGGGTGTGTGCCTGAGTGGAAGGAGTGGGGAAGAGCCATGGGCACAGAGCTGGCCCGGCCAGTGGGAAGGCCCAACTCGCTCCAAATCTCTTTAAACCAGCCAAGCCACTCCCACCCCTGTGAGGCCAAGGGGGACAGGGAACTGAGCTGAGAGCTGCCTGGAAACCTTGACCCTCTGGCTCCTCGCTGATCCCCTTCTGTTTTGAAAGGGGAAAGACATTGTTTGATCCCAAATTGCAAATGAACATTCACTATTTTTCCACCTTCGCCTTTGGTAGATCTTATCTTTCCTTCTTCCGTGTGTGTGTGTGTGTGTGTGTGTGTGTGTGTGTGTGTCTATATGCACACAAATGCGTGTATGTATGTGTGTATCCACATTGTTTTAGCTCCAATCCAAGCAAGTTTGAATTTGGATAGAGGTGAACTAAGCACAGTGTTGTGGCTTCTGCAGACTGATTTTCCTGTGTCTAAAAGTAAATTTCACAAAACATAAAAATTAGAGCGGCACATCCAGTGAGCGCGCCTCCTGTGTCCTGAAGCCGGCAAGGCGGTAGGCAGAGTGCCGGGGCCTGGGTCAGGTGCTTCTGTATGGAATCCGCCACTACGGCTCCCTTTCCCCTGGGAGGAAGAAGGTGCCCTTTGCCTCCCTGGTTTTCAGTCTGTAGGAGCAATCAGACCAGGAGGGACCCGGCTTGGGGAACATCCCACTTTCTCACTGTCTGAAGCTGTCTCCCCTGCTCTTCTAACATGTTGTCATAAATACTGTTCAAATACTGTTCAGCTCTGTTTTGTGTGCGTGACATTTGCCTTAAAACATAGCAGTCCTCAAAATGAATATAGTATTTCTACTAGGATCTGCACATTCCTTTATTCCTTTCTTGTGTTGTGAAGTAGCAGTTACTGATGGAGCTCTTCTAGGGGATCACCTGGGGGTGACTGAATGGATTTTGTTCTCGCCGCTTTTAGCCAGCCTGACCTCCTGAAGCAGGGTAGGCCCACTCAGGTGGGCCAAGCTACTGCAGGGCAGTCACTGATGGGGCTCGCTGAAAGTGAGTGTCCAGCTGCTTCTGGATGCCTCCTAGTCAACACTAGCAGGACTCATGAAAAAGTGGTGGTTTTGCTCCATAGCTCCATAAAATTAAGTCTTGTTAGAACAACTAGGTCAATAGACCTTAACTGAGCATCTGTAAACCAAGAGCCACGCTGGAAGAATGCCCTAGTCCATAGAATTACTGAGAAAGTCCCTGCGTGAGGCACTTGCCCAGGCTTCCACCATCATCCACACCACACCCAGCCCATTCTTTTATATAATCTCATTTTCAGTGACACCACTTTACAGCACAATTAGGGAATTTAGAAGCCTTTTTTTTTTTTTTAAAGATTTTATTTATTTATTTGAGAGAGAGAGAATGAGAGATAGAGAGCACGAGAGGGAAGAGGGTCAGAGGGAGAAGCAGACTCCCCGCCGAGCAGGGAGCCCGACGCGGGACTCGATCCCGGGACTCCAGGATCATGACCTGAGCCGAAGGCAGTTGCTTAACCAACTGAGCCACCCAGGCGCCCTAGAAGCCTTTTATAAAAGATTATCCGACAAGTTCACACTGGAAGCCTTAGTTTCCAGGCTCTGGGGCCTCTGAAGAAACAGGTCCTATTCTGACCTGGACATTTCCAGCTCTTCGTATCATACAGACACCAGTTTTAATTTCTGGACAGGCCCCAAAGGGCCGTTTACACAGACCAAGGGCCTGATGGGTCCAGTTACTATAGACCAGATTCCCGTCTTGGAGGATAGGGGTCTTGCTTCTCGGTTTTGAAGAGTGTTTGAAGGTTGAGATTGGTGCTCAGTGCTTCAGCTTTTTAATATAGCCAAATCAAGAGGAGCAATTCCATAAGCTGCCTCTTCCCGGGTGAGCAGAAAGTGTGCTGTTCTGTGGGGTCACCTGAGCCTGCTGAGGGGCAATCCCCACTGTATCAAGGAGGGACATGAGTGACATAGCAAGGAGTGTGCACTGTCTGGGCTCCATCTGAGCTCTGTTGCTTGCTTTTTCTGTGACCCCAGGCGCAACAACCCCTCTGAGCCTCAGCCTCCTTACCTTTTTTCTTTTTTTTTTAAATAAGATTTTATTTATTTGACAGCGCAAGCAGGGAGAACGGCAGGCAGAGGGAGAAGCAGACCCCCTGCTCAGCAAGGAGCCAGTGAGGACTCAATCCCAGGACCCTGGAATCAGGGCCTGAGCTGAAGATAGACGCTTAACTGACTGAGCCACCCAGGCTCCCCAGCCTCCTTATCTTTAAAATGGGGACAATAATCTTACCAGGGGCATCACTCGAATGTCTCTTATTCACAGAAGAAGTGCTCTACTCATGCTTTCTCTCTTTAGCTGTATCCTCACAAGTTGCCACTCAGGATGCTGGCAACACCCTGTCATCTAGACGGAAATTTGCTTTCCTGGTCGAGCTCAACGCCTCCTCATCACATTCAGGGAAGGTGCAGGCAGGCTTAGGTGTGGGGGTTCTGGCCTACCTGCCAATCTCAGGGCCTTTGACCTGCAGTCCCCTTTACTTGGGGTTGCCAGTAAGTGAGTACACAGCAAGAGGGAGAATCTTAAGTCATTTGAAAGGAAACCTCCCCCTCTCAAAGAAAGACAGCCATGAGTCCTCACTGGCTTTTCATCGTTTCAGAGAATGGCACTGAGTATCCTACAATTTCTCAAATCAGAGTCTCAAACCTGAATTGTGTGTCTTAGAAACAATATATAAAAGAGTATTCGGCTGAATTTTTTAGCAGAGGTAGGATTATTTAGAGGAAGACACAAGACTGAGATGAGAGCCTTGGGATCCCTTGGGTGGTTTGTAACAGGTGAACTTGCCCCAGGTTCTAGGACACAACTGTCCCCAAGCTCTGCCTTTAGGGGGAAAAAATCATGCATAAAGCTCAGAAGCTTTAGTTTATTTAGTTTCAGGGGTGTCCTGAGCTCAGTAACGATGCAGTATCTCTTCACTTTTTAAAAAATATAATAGTTTTATTGAAATGTAGTCCACATACCATAAAATTCACCCTTTAAAGTATACAATTCAGTGTTTTTTAGTATATTCACAGAGTTGTGCAACCATCACCACATTCTAATTCCAGAACACTTCCATTACCCCAAAAAGAAACCTAGGACCTCTTGCATCCACTAATTTGCTTTCTGTCTCTATGGATTTGCCTACTCTATAGACATTTTGCATTTATAGGTAGAGATGTTTCCTTTCATAGATACACCCCAGATAAAGAAAATTGATGTTCAAAATGTAATCACTGCCCACATTCCCACTACACTCCATTCTCCCCACACATACCCAAAGGGGATCCTATAAGAGCTCCTTTTATTTTTTTGAAAGATTTTATTTATTCGACAGAGACACAGCGAGAGAGGGAACACAAGCAGGGGGAGTGGGAGAGGGAGAAGCAGGCTTCCCGCGGAGCAGGGAGCCTGATGCGGGGCTCGATCCCAGGACCCTGGGATCATGACCTGAGCCAAAGGCAGATGCTTAACAACAGAGCCACCCAGGTGCCCCCTGTAAGATCTTCTTAATCATTAAATAAGACTCACTCATTTTAGCATGTTGGGCCAAAAAAAAAAAAAAGGAAGAAAAAGAAAAAAGATTCCTGGTTAATGGGAACACCTAATTACTTTGAAGCACCTCTTCCCAAACATGTATACCTGATGAAGGCCTAAGCATCTAGACCACAGGCTAAATGAAAATGGGGTCTGGATTCAGGCAACGGATTCTACTAACGTTCTGCTAATTGTACAGTGTGGTTTCATTGTATTCCATGTAATTGATGCTCCCTGGAGTTGGGCAATGCTTCACAATTCTACATGACAGCCCCGAATCTGGAAGTGAGTTGCAGTTAAAAGATTGGACTCACACTTAAAGCATGTTGAATGCCCTGTAAAAAAAAAAAAAATTCTAGGGGCACCTGGGTGGCTCAGTCGGCTAAGGATCCGATTCTTGGTTTTGGCTCGGGTGGTGATCTCAGGGTTGTGGATTCAAGCCCTGCATCGGGCTCTGCTCTCTGCATAGAGTCTGCTTGTTACCTTTCCCCCTGTGCCCTCCCAATCAGGCTCTCTCTCTCAAATAAGTAAATCAATCTCTTAAAAAATTATTTTTAATAAGTGGAGGCTAATGAATCTCAGAGGCAATAGGTCAAGAGGGACCTGCTTCATCAACTTTACCAGTCAGGCTGGTTTTCCCAATTGCTAGCATGCCTGTCACAAGGCATCTGGGTCTGTTGCTAGGCATTTTGTAGCATCAATGTACCTTTTGTCTCTCTAGTCTGCAGAGCACCCTGGGCAGGCTGGCTGGATTATTCATAGCCCCCCGCTCCCCACTTATTTCTAGCCAAACCCCTCTAAGAGAACCGATCTCATGACAAAAGGGTGACCCCACGAGCTCCTGAGTGGTGATCCACTACATTCAGTCCTTCCAGAAACACAAGAGCAACAGTGGCCAGTACTGAAAAAGGACAGACCAAGGAGTGAAATGGTGTATATGGTACTACTACATTTATAACAACAAAACTAATGTATAGAGTTAGAAGTCAGTTTAGAAGCCTTCTGCAGGCGGAAAGAGGGGTTGGTGTTTGGAAGAGGGGAAAGAGGGGCCTCTAGAAATGCTGACAATATCCTGTGTCTTGACTGGATGGGTGTCTGCTTTGCCATAACTCAGTTGTACACATAGGTTTCATGCACGTTTCTATACGTGAGTCATACTTCATTAGGAAAATAAATGGGGGTGGGGGGCAGGACCTGGTAGGAGACCTAACTGCAGTGGCCACCAGTCACTTTGGATGATCATGTCTTTTCTTAGGTGTC